GGATCGCCTGGGCCTGGGAGGTCAAGGCTGCAGTGAACCAAGGTGGTGCCACTGCACTTCAGCCTAGGTAACAGAGTGTGACCCCGTCTCAAAAAAAAAAAAAATTATTTGTGAGGGTGAAATTTAAATGCCTTTGATTGTGCAGAGCTATCAGTTATTCTTTGTTTTAATATTTAGTTTATTGTGAAATATAACACATATAGAAACGTACATAAAACACACAGGGTCATATGTGGTGGGTCAGGCCTATAATCCCAGCACTTTGGGAGGCCGAGGTGGGCAGATCAATTGAGGTCAGGAATTTGAGACCAGCCTGGCCAACATGGTGAAACCCCATCTGTACCAAAATACAAAAATTAGCCAGGCGTGATGGCAGGCACATGTAGTGCAGCCCGACCAACATGGAGAAACACTGTCCCTACTAAAAGTGCAAAATTAGCTGGGTGTGGTGTTGCATGACTGAAATCCCAGCTACTTGGGAGGCTGAGGCAGGAGAATGGCTTGAATCTGGGAGGCTGATGTTGTTGTGAGCTGAGATCACGTCATCGCACTCCAGCCTGGGGAACAAGAGCAAAACTCTGCCTCAAAGAAACAAAGAAAAAACAAAACAAAACAAACCCAAAGAAACAAAGAAAAAACAAAACAAAAAAACTACAGTGTAACATGTTATTATAAAGACAGTGCTCAGGGACCAATTTTGCTGCTCCTGCGCCTCACTGTTTTTTAGAGTTTTACATCTTAAGTACAGGAGTCAACAAACTAGGCCTCTGCACCACATCTGGCAGCCAGGCTTTATTTATTTATTTTTTGAGATGGTATCTCAGTCTGCCACCCAGGCTGCAGTGCGGTAGCATGATCTTGGCTCACTGCAACCTCCGCCTCCTGGATTCAAGCAATTCTCCTGTCTCAGCCTCCTGAGTAGCTGGGATTACAGGTGCGTGCCACCAAGCCTGGCTAATTTTTGTATTTTTGGTAGAGATGGGGTTTCACCACATTGGTCAGTCTGGTCTCGAACTCCTGACCTCAGATGATCCGTCCGTGTAGGCCTGTCAAAGTGCTGGGATTACAGGCATGAGCCATGATGCCTGACCCAGCCTTTCTTAAAATGAGGGTTTCAGCTGGTGCGGTGGCTCACGTCTGTAATCCCAGCACTTTGGGAGGCCGAGGCTGGTGGATCACCTGAGGTCAGGAGTTCGAGACCAGCCTGGCTAACGTGGTGAAACCCCATCTGTACCAAAATACAAAAATTAGCCAGGCGTGATGGCAGGCACATGTAGTGCCAGCTACTTGGGAGGCTGAGGCAGGACAATCACTTGAACCGGGGAGGCGGAGATTGCAGTGAGCCAAGATTGCACAAGTGCACTCCAGCCTGGGCAACGATAGGGAAACTCCATCTAAAAAAAAAAAAAAAAGATGTCCTTTTTTGTCTCCAATCTCATTTTTTATTTTTTTTTAATTTTCAGACAGGGTCTCACTCTGATGCCCAGGGTAGAGTGCAGGGGCCCAATCTCTTAGCTCACTGCAGCCTCAACCTCCCAGTTCACATGATCCTCCCACCTCAGCCTCCCAAATAGCTGGGAACACAGATGGGTACCACCATGCCCGCCTAATTTTTGTATTTTTTGTAGAGATGGGATTATGCCATGTTGCTCAGGCTGATCTCAAACTTCTGGCCTCTCTGCCTCCACCTCCAAAAGTGCTGGGATTACAGGCGTGAGCTACCATGCCCAGCCCTGCTTTAATTTAAAGTGTATTACATATTAGTACAGCCACTTCAGCTCTTTTTTGGTTACTATTTTAATGTTGTATGTTTGTATCCTTTTCCTTTTTTTTTTTTTGACACAGAGTTTTGCTCTTGTCACCCAGGCTGGAGTCCTATGGTGCGGTCTCAGCTCACTGCAACCTCTGCCTCCTGGGTTCAAGCGATTCTCCAGCCTCAGCCTCCTGAGTAGCTGGGATTACAGGCGCGTGTCACCAGGTCTGGCTAATTTTTGTATTTTCAGTAGAGATGGGGGTTTCTTCATGTTGGTCAGGCTGGTCTAGAACTCCTGACCTCAGGTTATCCACTGCCTGGGCCTCCCAAAAGGGCCTAGGGATTACAGGTGTAACCATGCGCCCGGGCCAAAAGTGGTGGATTTTTTCCTCAGAAATCATTCCCATTATTTTTCCAAAAAATCAATTGTACAAGTTAACTAATACTTACATTCTATTTTTTTTTTTTTTTTTTGAACGGAGTCTCCGCTCTGTCGCCCAGAGCGGCGAGCGGCAGTGACGCGATCTCGCTTACTGCCAAGCTCGCTCCCGGGTTCACGCCATTGTCCCTGCCCTCAGCCTCCCGAGTGCGCTGGGACTACAGCGCCCGCACGCTTCGCCCAGCCTAGTTTTTGCATTTTTAGTAGAGACGGGGTTTCACCGTGTTAGCCAGGATGGTCTCGATCTCCTGACCTCATGATCCGCCCGTCTCGGCCTCCCAAAAGTGCTGGGATTACAGGCTTTGAGCCACCGGCGCCCCCGGCCAACTCTAATTTTTTTGTTCTGAGGTCCTTATTGATTTTAAGAATAGAATTTTATCTTTACATGTTCAAGAAAAATTAGAAGTGTAGATAAAACATAATCAATAAAATAATGTCTTTCCTTCTGTTCAGTTCATTACTATTAGCTGAGTGCAGTGACCTCACACCTGTAATCCCAGCATTTTGGGAGACTGAGGTAGGTGGGTCACTTGAGCCCAGGATGTTCAAGACCAGCCTGGTCCAACATGGCGAAACCCTGTCTCTACAAAAAAATACAAAAATTGCCAGGCGTGGTTGCAAGTGCCCGCAGTCCCAGCTACTGGCAAGGCTGAGGTGGGAGAAACGCACCTGAAGCCAGTAAGTCAAGGGCCTGCAGTTGGTGTCAGCTCCTGTCCCCAGGCTGGAGTGCAGGGGTGCAATCTCAGCTCACTGTAACCTCCGCCTCCCGGGTTCCAACGCGATTCCTGCCTCAGCCTCCCGAGTAGCTGGATTACAGGCCACGGGCCACCACACCTGGCTAATTTTTTGTATTTTTAGTAGAGAAGGGGTCTCACGATGTTGGCCAGGCTGGTCTTGAACTCCTGACCTCAAATGATCCACCTGCCTCGACCTCCCAAAGTGCTGGGATTACAGGCATGAGCCACCACGCCCGGCAGGTTCTTACAGGCAGGATCTCACTCTGTCGCCCAGGCTGGAGTGCAGTGGCATGATCTCAGCTCACTGTAGCATTGACCTCCCAGCTCAGGCGATTCTCTTGTCTCAGCCTCCTGAGCAGCTGGGATCACAGGTGTGTGCCACCACACCTGGCTAATTGTTAAGTTTTTTGTTTTTTTTAGAGATGGGGTCTTGCTATGTTACCCAGTCTGGCAACATGGGATCCTCCAACTCCTGGCTTTGAGGGATCCTCCCGCTTCGGCGTCCCAAAGCGCTGAAAATTACAGACGTGAGCCACCATGCCCGGCCTATATTGTTTTATGTTTCTTCAGTTTTGTTTTGTGGTCGCTGGAGGTCTGTTTCCTTCTCGGATTCCCTGCGCAGTGCTTCCACAGCTGCTCCATGTAATCTGCCCAAGACTTCTGCTGCATTCAGTTGAACACATAGGAGGAAGCTCTTCACGCCCGAGAGAGCCGACCGCACGAAGATCCGGTCTCATCTCCAGGAGAGCTGGTCTCGCCACTCGACCAGCGCCCTGGACACCTCCACTTAGTGTGAGCGCGGCCACCCGCCGCCGCGAGATTAAGAGCGCTCGGGGCCAGGAAGTCTCCCGTGGGAGTGAGGGCAGGCATGCGTCCGGCGGAAATCCCGCCTTCCGGCGGCCGCGGTTGGCCCTGGCCGCAGCCGGGGCGCTCCAAGTAGGAAGATAAGCGGGATTGCAGGAAGCGGGAGAGTCGGGAGGAGACGCGAAGGGCTCCTCTTCCCCATTGGCTGCGCCC